GCGGACCGGGGCCGCCGTTGGTCGTGGACTTCCGCATCCCAGGCCCAGCTGCCCCTTGGCCCTCAGCCTCCTGGGCCCCCTTGCGCAGCCCGTGTCCAGCAGGGTCCCCTCCTCCCTCGCTCCTCCTCCGGCCGGCCGTTCGGGATTCTCTTGGGCCCTGGGCAGCCACTCTTGTCTTCCTTAAACCCAGGCCTCCTCGCCGCTGCCTTTCCCACCCTAAGAGTGTGTATTGGGAACCTGATGGCAGCGTCAAAGCGGAGTTGAGCCCTGGGTTTGAAACCCCCCCACCTCGTGGGCTGGGCTCCTTGACAGCTCGTTCCTCTGCAGTTTAGTTTAGCGGCCAGTTTTTTGTTTTTGTTTTTGTTTTGTGTGTGTGTGTGTGTGTGTGGTTTTTTGCTGTTGTTGTTGTTTTTTGGCGAGACGACACCAGTGCCGAATAGCTCTGCAGTCGGCCCCCCACGGGGATAGGAACCAGAACAGCAGATGGTGCCGGCACAGGGGGAGGAGGGAGCGAAGGGATCTGCTTGAGGAGGGCATTTGGCGTTCGGCAGACGCGGTGAGCAAGCATGTGAGGGGGTGTGCTGTGGTGTTGGGTGACTCATCCTATGTATTTCTAGGCACAGAAATGGATCGCGGTGGGTAGAGGAAAACTCACAAGGGCTGAGGACCGGTAGGATGAAGGGGGTTCTCGTCCAGGCCCGGGGAGTGGAACTCGGGGAGGAGGAGTCTCGCTGGGGCCTTTATGTGGTGGGACTGAGATCACAGTGCCGTTTGTCGCCCCGACCAGCCGAGGCCCCGCTGCCGGGGGGGTTAGATGGTACACACACCTGCTACCCACAGGTGGTCCCGGACGTGGCTGGTATTTTACAACCTTCCGTTCCCACCAGAACAGTTTCCCTCGGCCTTTTTTTAAAAGTCTGTTTGTAAGCTATTTTTGAAATGTAGTTAGCTTTATAAATCAGACTTACTAAAATTTTCTTTTTAAAAAAAATATATTTTATTGATTTTTTTACAGAGAGGAAGGGAGAGGGATAGAGAGTTAGACACATCGATGAGAGAGAAACATCGATCAGCTGTCTCCTGCACACTCCCTACTGGGGATGTGCCCGCAACCAAGGTACATGCCTTGATCGGAATGGAACCTAGGACCCTTCAATTTGCAGGCTGACGCTCCAGCCACTGAGCCAAACCGGTTAGGGCAAAATTTTCTTTTTATTATAGTAAAATATATAACAAGTTGCACAAATCCTGTGTAGGGCTTGAAAAAAACACATGCAGGTACCTACCACCCAGACCAAGAAATGGAATGTTACTGGCATTCCAAAGCTCCCCTGTGTCTTCCTCCTTCCTACAGTGGATTAGTCAAAATTTGTAAAAAGTTTTGCCTGTTTTTTATTTTGAAACATTTTTAATCTACCAATAAATTGAAAGAATGATATGAATACTCGTGTATCTCTCTTTTTTTAAAAAATATATTTTTATTGATTTTTTTACAGAGAGGAAGGGAGAGGAATAGAGAGTTAGAAACATCGATGAGAGAGAAACATCGACCAGCTGCCTCCTGCACACCTCCCACTGGGGATGTGCCCGCAACCAAGGCACATGCCCTTGGCCGGAATTGAACCTGGGACCTTTCAGTCCGCAGACCCATGCTCCATCCACTGAGCCAAACCGGTTAGGGCAGTGTATCTCTTAACATACCTTCATTTTTTAGCATTTTACATTTATCTTTCTCCTCTTCTTTATAATATACTTTCTTTTTTGTTTTGTGATGAACCATTTGAAAATAACTTGCAGATGTCACCACACTACACCTCTAAATGTTTCAGCATGCATCTCCCCAAAAAAATAAAAGGGATTTTTTTTTAAATGCATTGATTTTGTCTTTGGTGGAATCAAGTATTTTCCAGAATTAAAGTGTGATGTTACTTACATCAACCTATACACATTCTCCTACATTTTCATGTGTTAAAGTGGTTAAGCAGACCATCTTATTCACAGCTGATTGAAAATATTAAACTTCCTATCACTTTAGGAAAAATTGTATGAAAACAAGCACTAGTCTTATATATAATAATAAAAGCATAATATGCTAATTAGGCCAGACATCCTTCTGGACATCCTTCCCAAGGGAAGCCTGGGTCCCAGGTGCCTGCCGGCGGCTGGAGGGAAGCCCGGGCCCTGGAGGGAAGCTGGTGCCGGCAGCTAGGGGAAAGAAGGCCTACTCTTGCACAAATTTCGTGCATCAGGCCTCTAGTATATAATAAAAGCCTAATATGCTAAGTGTCTGGTCATCCGGTCAGCCTTTCAACCAATCAAAGCGTAATATGCTAATGATATGCTAAGGCTGCTCAACTGCTTCCTATGACTTGCACTGACCACCAGAGGGAAGATGCTCTGACTGGTAGGTTAGCTTGCTGCTGGGGTCTGGCTGATCGGGACTGTACTGGTGCACAAAATTGTGCACCGGGCCTCTAGTAGTATATATAATGATGTGAAACATGCAACATTGTTTTGGCACTCTCTTGTGTAAGCTTTTTTATTAATCTTAGTGGTTTTTACAGGAAGATTTTCACCACAGATAATCTGATTTCATTCTCATTTTTCATTTTGGGGCTGTCTTTTAGGGCTCCGTGCCTGGCCTGTGCCCTCTCACAATCTGGGACCCCTCGGGCAATGTCAGAGAGCTGGTTTCGGCCCAATCCCGCAGGCCAGGCCGAGGGACCCTACTGGTGCACAAAATTGTGCACGGGGCCTCTAGTGGTATATATAATGATGTGAAACATGCAACGTTGTTTTGGCACTCTCTTGTGTAAGCTTTTTTATTAATCTTAGTGGTTTTTACAGGAAGATTTTCACCACAGATAATCTGATTTCAATTATTTCTCAGATCACAGTATCGGTGTTAGGTAACCATGCCATATTTCATTCTCATTTTTCATTTTGGGGCTGTCTTTTAGGGCTCCGTAAAGAGACAAGCACTATATGCCTGTGGTACCTGCACCCCCAAGGGAGAAGAACCAGCAGGAATTTGCCTAGCTTGCAGTTATGAGTGTCATGGAAGTCATAAACTATTTGAGCTATATACAAAAAGGTAAAGACAGATTGGTGCTGAATGCTTTTTAAATGTTTAGATTCTTTCCCAGCTGCATTTTTTTTTCATAATCTTGCTTTTCCATTCAGTGAAGCTGTGTACTGGTAAATTTATTGTAGTTGTTTTATATAATATGATTTGAGACAATAGTTTTTCCGCAGGGCCTTTTAAAAGATAATTATGATACAAACTCAAACTACTCATCCTTCACTGCCATTAATTTATTTGTGTCTCTGGATGTGATAAAAATATTTGTTTCTGCACATTAATTTCCAGAATTATTAAATCTTATTGTTAGGCAGTTGAAGAAATTCTGAATTGGATATATGAGCAGCAACCAAGGCCACTTTTTAGATCCTAGAAATGAGTTGAAAGGGAAGAGGCTATGCTATGAACTTTAAACGGTCATTAGGTTTAAAAGAAAAATTAAAATTGGCTCTTTCTTTCTTTCAGAAATTTTCATTGTGATTGTGGAAACAGCAAGTTTAAAAATTTGGAATGCAAATTATTTCCTGTAAGTAAGCACTGTAACTATAAATGCATTGAAAATAGCTGAGATGGATATTTGACAGAGTGAATAAAAACCAGATATTTTCCAGAAAGAAAGTACTTATGCTTATTCTTTGCAAATGGGCAAATGAATGTTAGACTCCATTTTTTACCCTGTTAGAAAACTAAGTAACCTGTTTAGAGCCTACAGTATAGATTATAATTAATATGAAAGGTTTTGGGGAAATGTTCTTTGTAGCGATTCAGGTTAAATTATGTCAGTTGTGCTCATGCTATGCTCTAAGGCTTTTACATAATATATAATAATCCTATATAATAAAAGCGTAGTATGCAAATTGTCCCCTCGACCGAGAAGTCATCCAGGAGTTCGACCAGGGTGCGGGGCCGGCCGGCCGGGGGAAGGGAGGGAGGCCCCAGCTGGCAGCCGCTAGGGACCCTACTAGTACATGAATTTCATGCAGTGGGCCTCTAATATATATATATATATAATTTAAGAAAGAGGAAGGGAGAGTGATAGAGAAACATCGATGAGAGACATCGATCCACTGCCTCCTGCATGCTCCCTACTGGGGATTGAACTGGCAACGCGGGCATGTGCCCTAACCGGGAATTGAACCATGATCGCCTGGTTCATGAGCCGACACTCAACCATTGACCCACACCAGCAAGGCTGCTCTAAAGCTTTTAAAGCAAGGGGTATGACTAAAAACGGGATAAGTAAAACTTGATGATAATGAATGTGGGCTAGATGCATGCAGGAGTTTTTCATTGCATTTTGGTTAAAAACTATCTTATATAATAACTTTTAGTGAAATAACAAATGAAAGAGACTAAGGGGCCCTAGCCAGTTTGTTCAGTGGGTAGAGCGTCAGTCCACAGACCGAAGGGTCCTGGGTTCTATTCCAGTCAAGGTCATGTACCTTGGTTGCAGGCTAGATCCCCGGCCCCAGTCAGGACCTGTGTGGGAAGCAACCAATTGATGTGTCTCTCTCACATTGATGTTTCTCTCTTTCTGTCTCTCCCCGACCCTTCCACTCTCTCTAAAAATCAATGGAAAAAAAATATCCTCTGAGAATTAACAACAACAAAAAAAGGGATTTTATATTATTCAATCTTAATTGCTAAAACTTATGATTTTTTCTCCTTAGAAGGCTATTTTTAGACAATTTTCTTGTCTGCTTTTCTTTAAAATTTCAATTCTTTATTGTTTAAAGTATTACATACGTCTCATTTTTCCCCCTCTTGTCTGCTTTTTATTTTTACATCCTGGTAACCTGGCAGCTTTGGCTATTACAGTTGCTGTTAAGAAGTAGTTTGAAATTCTAGGCCAATGTCAGTTTGCATAGGTTGATTTTTTTTTAAAGATATTTTTAACTGATTTTTAGAGAGAGAGGAAGGGAGAAGGAGAGAAATATAATGTGAGAGTGGAACATCCATTGGCTGCCTCCTGCATGCCCCCTACTGGAGATGGAGCCAGGAACCCGGCCATGTGCCTGACCTGGAATCGAACAAGCAACCCCCAGGTGCACAGGACTGTGTCCAATCAGCTGAGCCACACCGGCCAGAGCCAAAGGTTGATATTAATACTCATGATTAACTTTCATTACCATTCTATTAAATGGGTATACTCAGTTCCCACCAATTGCTACAAATATGGTACAAAAAATGATTTTTCTTTTTTCCCTGTATCCTGGAAAAAGTATCCCTTTAATATGAGTGACTCTTTTCTTCGTATATTCAATGCAGAAATTTGTTGAATGCAGAAATGTGATGATGAATGAAATTATAGTTAAAATTATATTATATTGAAATTAATATCTTTCAGGACAAAGCAAAGATAAATTCTGGCAATAAGTATAATGACAACTTTTTTGGATTGTATTGCATTTGTAAGAGACCTTATCCTGATCCTGATGATGAGGTAAGAATTTGGGGTTAACACCTGGGACTATGTTATCTCTAGCCTTCACTCCTCAGCTTCTTGTCATATCTGGGCCTCTGTAGCTGTGCAGGTGGAATTTAGGGATTGTGAAAGGATTCTAGATTTATCTCTTGGTAAATCTGGGCTGGGTCTCTAACTGTATCTTTTAAAAATTTTCCTTTTCTTGATCACAGTGCGCTTACATCTTTTCATGAGTTTATTGGAAATTTGTAATAACCTTTTTTTAAAAAAATATTATTATTGATTTCGGAGAGGAAGGGAGAAGGAATGAGAGATAGAAACATCAGTGATGAGAAAGAATCATTGATTGGCTGCCTCCTGCATACCCCACACTGGGGATCGAGCCCACAACTCAGGCATGTGCCCTGACTCAGAATCAAACCCAACCTCCTGGTTCATAGTTCTACGCTCAACCATTGAGCCACACTGGCTGGGTGTCACATTCTGTATTGGTGAATTCATATTACTTCCCTGGGCCTGGGTTTATGTTTATGTGTAAAAAGAATACATTACTTATTTGTAAAGGTTTGTGAGAATCACAAATGATGTGAAAGAGCTTTGACAGTTGCTTGCAAAGTGCTTACTACACTGTAACCCTTATGTACCATCAGTTCATGTAGAATGAACTTCTCTTTGGCCCCTTGATCTGATGTCTTTCCCTGTCTCCTTGGATATCCCTGTAGTGGTCTCACAGATTTGTTAGAGAACTAATTAGTATCTAATTCTACCCTGTGCCAGATTTACCTTCATGTCTCTGAATTCAGTGTAATCATTAACGTACAATTGCTTTTCCATGTTAGATTCCAGATGAGATGATCCAGTGCGTAGTCTGTGAAGACTGGTTCCATGGAAGGGTAAGGAAAGCTTTTACCTTTTAAAGCCATTATCTTCACAAAAGGAGAAAAGTTGTGTTTTCTTTTTGAATTGTGTTATATTTTACATTATAGTTACTTTTGAAAAGTAACTATAAAGATATGATCAGTGTGCTATTGCAATATTTATTTAGAAAATGATGAGTATTTTGGACAACTTGGAGATCACAAGAAAAATCCAGTTTTCTGTATTCACAGCATCTCGGTGCCATGCCCCCCGAGAGTGGGGATTTCCAGGAGATGGTGTGCCAGGCCTGTATGAAGCGCTGCTCGTTCTTGTGGGCTTACGCTGCACAGTTGGCAGGTAGGTATCTCTGTGGAGTTGTACAAACCTGTGCTTATGAAACGTGTATGTTCAGTCCAGAATTTTTCGCAACTATTAACTGGACTCTGAGGTATAGAAAGGTGCTTATGATTGGTTAGGAGACTACCAAGAGCAAATTTGTACTTTATTGAGCTGATGCAGAGTATAGATGAGACCAGAATTCGAGAAAATTAAGGAGGCGGTTTTGTATGTTTTTTTTTTTTTTAAATTGATTTCAGAGAGGAATGGAGAGGGAGAGATAGAAACATCAATGATGAGAGAGAATCATCAATCTGGTGCCTCCTACACGCCCCCTACTGGGGATGGGGCCTGAAACCCGGGCATGAGCCCTGACCTGGTTCATGGGTTGATACTCAACCACTGGGCCACACCAGCTGGGCAAGGAGGCGGTTTTTTAATGGAATTTTGAAAGATAAATAGAACCTAAATAAGTTGTTTTTAAATGTAAGGCCTGCTATTGGTTGTGTAGGGAGTGGTGGGCAATGTTAGCTAGTGTTTTTGTTATACACTAAAAAACTGACCCAAAACAACTAATCAGCAATGAATAGTTTTGAGGCATTAGATAATTGTATTTTTTTGGTCATGCCATATGTCTTACCTTTTTTTTTTTTTTAAGTGGCAGTTATTCATAGGATCTGCTGCTCTGGTCTCATAATTTTTTGCCCTTCTCACCTTTAAGGAACACTTTACCTATAAACCACAAACAGCAGCCATACTTAAGATCTCATCCTACACTTTTGATTTGCCTCAAGGTTCTTAAACTTGGTGCTCCCTCCTCCTGTTCATACCCTTCTCTATCTCTAACTTTCCACTGGACCTATATGTATTTCTCATTCATTGGATTTTCTTAGTAGATCTCCTTTCCACCACTTCATTTCCTTCGCTGTCAGCAGATGGCTTCATTTTCTATTAAATTGAAATGCCATCCTGTACCATGAGCTCCTTCACAGTATTTCTGCCTCTATACCCATCTTTTTAATTTTTTCTTCATGAAAAAAAGCTGGTTGTCTTTTCAAAACGACCCTGTTAGGGGGGAAGAAAGGGTACATCTGTAATACTTTCAACAAGAAGGAAGGGAGGGAGGGAGGGAGGGAGGAAG